ATAACTAGTATGCAAGTGTTATCATCAGTGTGCAAGGGAGCCGCGGTGACTCAGTAAAGGGCTGGCTCACTTACCGGGCGGCCCAGGGATTGATCCTAGTCCGGCGTAGTTTCTCCTTGTCCGTGGCTCACAAATCAGGAGGTTCGGGGTTTGATCCCCTGTGTTGACCTAGACAGTTCCCCAAACTTTCCAGTGTTGTTTCCCCTTGTCATTGGTGCAGGAAGAGGGGGGGGGGCTGCGATGGGCAGAGTCTAGTTATTCGGATGGAATATAAAACTGAGGTCCCGTGCACACGTTGACATGCACGTAAAAGAACTTTAAATTCGAAATAAAGAGTAGACTGTAACGTTGCTGTTTGGACCAAATTCCCCCACTATAGCATAATGTATGGCGGGCGTATGTACATCTTCATTCTGGCGGTTGATTTTTTTTTCTCTTCATTACAATTGCCACTGCCTTACAGTATTATTTAGGTTTTGCCATATATCTATTTTAGTGGGAAAATTACATGTAGATGCTTTGTTTCAATTCAAATATTTATTCGGAATTCGGCCCCAAATCTAATCTAAACTAAAAGTTTACATATATATTAGTAGAAATACTGTTTTGGGAGAGCTTATTATATATGCCCGCCCGCCCTCCCAGATTGGTTGAAGCGTCCATTTTTCGGGTAATGTATTTCAGTTTTTCAGGCACAAGCTTCAGAGAATGGAGAATGCGAGCATATCTTATGGAAATGTAATTGTATATTTGTGTAATTAATTCAAAATAAACATACTCATCACAGCTTTGTGGATAAATCATTTAGTTAATGATTGATTCATTCAGAATATTTGGGTGACAAATTTTTCAGGCAAATAGGCTTACCCCCCCCCCCCACCTCCCAACACACCCAGCTGAGATTAGCCCCCTACACCCATACAGCCCCTTACCTGTTGTTCAATCCGATTCAGTTTGTTGAATCAAATATTGTTTCAACCATTGCTTTCCCTCCACTCCAAACGACTGGGCATTGTCCTTCCAGCCAACTTCCATCCCGTACAACTGACAGGGGGATACATGTACATATCTAATCTATGTAAATGTAGTAAATGTGAAAATGAAACAAAAAGACTGTTAAAGAAACCCAACTTGATGTTTATACATGTAGTGAGAGTGATGATGATAACGACTAACTTTGATGACATTTAAAGTGCAGGGTAGCTGCGTAATTTTGATTTTCAATGACTGTTTTACTTCAATAAATAATTTTTGTCTTAAATCTTTATTTGTTAGCAAATTAAACAATTATAGATATCATTTCAGTTTAAGTGTTTGTAATTCGACCTTAAATATCTGAACTAGAGGTTTACAGCTCGCTGTAGTGTAAAAATAACGTAGGGTCTAACTGAAAGGGTATGTTGGTGTGGGTTTATGTTTTAGTGGAAAAAATCACGTGGTTTGAATGCGATTTACAAAGCTACCGACATATGCCCCATTGACACTTTCACGCAATCGTGGTACGCTTTGGTACGCTAAAGTTCGTACCAAGACGGAAACTATGCGTACCATCGCGGGAAACAGTCGTAAACCATGCGTACTACTGCGTGTCATTGCGTGCCATGCGTGACAGTGCCGATCCAAAACCTTGGATTTGTCCAAGCTCATGCCACGCACTCGAAGACGTACCAGGGCGTACCATTTTCGTAAACTATGCGCAAACTGTGCGTACCCGGTGCGTAAAAGTGTCAATGGAAATTATGTCACGCACTGTCACGCACTGAGGGGTACTCAATGTCACGCATTGGTGCGCAAGGTTCATCACTGGTACGACAAGATCAGCAATGGTGCTCATGGGTTGATGTAGGTATCTGCCAGTGGTCAGGAATTCTTCCCGCCACTTGACGTGTGTCACTCATTGGTGCTCACAGTTTACTCATTGATCCTCACAGTGTACTCACTGGTGCTCATAATTTACTCACTGGCGCTCATAGTTTACTCCCATATACTCATTGGCAGGTTTGCTTCACTCACAGATCACAGACGCCGCACCAATCAGAGGCTTCCACGGGGGGGTTTCTTCATAGCAACATGCTTGCCGTCAACAGCTCCAAGACAGTTTTGGTAATTCCGTCTGCTACTAAAACCTTCAGCAATAGTCTTCCACTGGTCTTCTGTTCTAGGACAAACTAATACTTTTGGCTTGTAGACCTTGACGATAGCTTTACATACTTCTGGTAGAAAATTGCATATAGTGCTAAGTTCAACTCTGAAATTGTATTGGAGACTTGCATAGGAATCGCCACTGGCTAAGAACCGGAGTGTGATTGCTAACTTCAGGCCAACTTCAAGAGGTTCTCTCATAAATGTTGTATTCTTCTTCAGGTGTGGGGTCAACTTTTCAATCATCTCTTGAAACATTTCGGGGGTGATACGTAGGAAGTTCCGGTAACCTCTGCGATCTTCCTTGTGTAGTTCCGACAATAACTGGTCATAATGGCCAAAATGTTGTCTCCTTGTCAACTATTGCCTCACCCAGAGTCTCCTGACTTTTCTTTTCTTTCTGCAGGCAGACTTTCTGTCGGTGTCAGGTTTTGATTGTAGAACAATATTTCGTTCACTTTCATCTTCTTCCAAAAGTAGTAGACCAGCAGCTGCTGTAAGATGTGCGTTTTGCAAAATAAGGTTCCTTTCTTCAAGGTCTCTGGAGTTCATCATTTTGAAGAGTTGCCGACGGAATGGACCATATCCCAATACATTTCCTTTATATATACTATTTCTATGAAGCGTGCCAGTGCGTGCGCAAACTGTGCGCAAACTATCCGCAGATATTGCGTACTCTAACGGGACAATAATGGACGATGCGGGACACATGAGAGACAACTAACATGGTACGAATGCGCATCAGTGCGGACAGATTTTGCATACTATGAGCAAAGGTTGGTCAGCAACGGCACGAACCATTTGATTGACAGGTGAAATATACATGATATCCATCCGCATTGGTACGCATTAATGATTACCATTGCGGATTCAAAATGCGTGAAAGTGTCAATGGGGCATAGTCTGGTCTCCATTACTTCATAGACATATTGCTCAACCAATGTCAAACATATACTTTTATATAAACACAGTATTACAAACAAGAATCATGATAAGGAGATTAGAGTGACGGTATATTAATTGTTACGATTCCGTTTAATCACTTATTTTATTAGAAAAATATTAAAATCTACCAGGGTTTACAAGTTCAGATACATTTTTAGTACATAAAAGATTAAATAATTTAAAAACACTGGGGTTCGAATAATAATACTTTTTTTTATATATTATTATCTCAGACTTTTATAAATTAAAACAAAATGGTACTCAACTTCAATGTCTTCAAAATTAAACAATGTACATAATCGTTTACTTCTCTCAATATATTTAGTACTACATGTATATCGTAACCTTTCAATATTTAAATTATGACTGGACAAACGGATTCTTGTAATTTCACGTCTGTATTTTCTGTTTATTGGTTTAGTCAAATAACATTGTAATTCAAATGTATTCACAATATTATTATGCTTATAAATGATACATTTACTTGATACTGTAATTCAAATTTCTCAATACACTCCTGTCTAAATATCTCTAATAATCTTTGTCTGATGATATGGATACAATTTGTGTTTATGAGATGAGCAGGTTTTTCCCATAAATCTCCCAAGCCAAGTTCTTTCTTAACATTCGGGACCCACGGGTCATTATTTATTAACATATAAGAGTAGCAAGAATTAAGTAAGACATTAGTAGAAGAACGTATTTTAATCCAGTATTTAAATATCCGTAATTTTCTCGTAATGATTAAAGGGAAACGTCCAAGTTAATAATAGATCATGTGGGAATTTGTGGTTTTTCTTGTATCTAAGATTTTCCTAAGGTACCTTAAATGTATTTGTTCTATATAGTATCCCGAATTTGTAATTTAAAAAAGATATATTACCTGGGATGAGATTTACCGATTTCCAATTGTATAATTACCTGGGACGTGATTTACCGATTTTTTATTTATTTGTCAGTGATGGATTACTAAGTTTATAGGATAATGGATAATATATAATACTACGACCACGGTAAGGTGATCATCTATGGGTGTGCATTTATATTCCCCTTTTTTATTTGTACTTCATATGTAAATAATCGTAATCAAAATTAACCGATCGGATAAACGGCTCGCGGGAAATTAAAAGGTTCATCTAATTTTTCATCGCCGTAGATAAATTAAACATGTGTTGATTTTTCAACGTATCTCGGGAAAGTAAACGGCTCGTCTAATAAGTAAAGGCCGTAGATAAGTAAACAGTGTGTTGATTTTTCAACGTATGTCGGGAAAGCAGACGGCTCGTCTGATAAGTGAACGTCGTAGATAAGTGAACGAGTCGGCCATTTTTAAACGCCTCTAGGGGAAACTAAACCCGTCACCATATTTGAGACGTATCTTTTAGTACAAGCCAGCCTATTCTGAATGAAGATTTTTTTTAATACTCCGGTGTACACAATTACATTAATATAATACTATAATGGTGTTTATAATTATGTGGTTTATAAGGTATCTTTTTCAAATTATTTTGTATGAAATAAGTTTCAATTACTAAGTGTCAGATTAATGGGTATCTGATTTTATTGTTCAAAACAAATTGTTAAATACACATTGAATAAATTGTATACGCGGCAGTTTGAAAACTGAATGACGCGGACAATCATAATTGTTTTGTATCAAAATCTTTTAAGTCTGCTATAGGCCTCCTGTGGATGTCGGCTGTTTCGTAACCTGGCTGTTTCGTACTTAGTTCATTCGTACCTATTCAAAAAATTGTTTGTCACAAAGATTTGGTGAGCATTACGCGAAACTGTTTGTTACCATGCAAGGGAAGCATCCCCATTTTAAATTGCAATTCCTTGCATTAACGGTGCATACCAGGAAAATAGATACATATGTTTCCCATAGATAATTACACGTTCTTTTAAAATATGTTAATACAGTAACATTAACATTAGTGCACGTGAAATGTGCCATGGGTTATTAACAAACTGACAGAAAAGATAATTATGTATGAATATACATTACATGTAATATGATAACAGGCCATTAGCTCTTGGGTAGATAAAATCTCTGAGAAAACCCATTTCCGTCGAAAACAAAAAATATTATTTGAAAAACCCGTCATTAAGGGCGGAGTCATCTACGTAAGTAGTTAATGTCAGTGATTAGCATGAAATTTGAAGAATCTGTTCAGTGTCAGTTTTGTTTAATAAATCTATATCTTAAAATAATAAATTGTGCAATCGACGAGAGTTTCCATCTGATATAATTTACCACAGAGACCAGGCCGTGGATCTATGTATTGGCACCAACTGCTATCAGTTGAAATTAAACACCAGTTATGTCATTACGACCTGGCCATGATATAGTTAAATGCTGCAGTGAAACATTTAATTTGATGCACTTTACGTCGAGGACGTGAGGTCTCTTCTTGTATAATAAACTGTTATTGTTTCAAATAGTATTTATTATTACATAATATATGCAACCCAATTTATGATATTGAGCAGTATGCCTTTCGATAAACAGAAACAGCGACGATTGTTATTTACTGGAAAGTTAAGTTATGATTTCACCAAAAGATTGACGGACATACAGACAGATTGACGAAACCATTTTTTATATAGTTCCCAGCGTGTTTGAAAGGTGTGGGACAAAAACATATGTTAGCATGAACCTTAGACCACATTGATTGTATTCAAATAACAAACTTAAAACCCCATTCTCTTCCTTCCGTTCCTTTCATATGAACAAACAATATACATGTAAAAGTTTAAATAACGATTGACACACAAAGTGTTTTATATAAATCTATGAGTCATGTTAGTGTTTGAAGAGGTACTTAACGTTACTTGACTACACTTTTATTATTACTACATGTATTATACTATTCAAAAAAAGTAGGGGATATTTGATTTTGGGGGCATAATACTAAAATATGCAAATGACTACGAAAAAAGTCACTATAGAACCTAACAGAAGAAACATTTCCAGTTACATGTGACGCCCAAACGCACCAATAGCTACCGCATGGAATGCAGGTGATGCTTGGGATCATCATGGGGGTCCAACCCAAGATTTGCACGACTCTGACTTTGAATGTTACAGTCATTGTGGCATTAAATTCCAGGGTGGAAACATCAGTTTAATTGTTTTAGTGACCAGAAAACAAATTTTGATATGCGTCGGCTTACCCAAAATGAAAGGTTACGTGCCCTTGGCATGCTACAGATCGGCACAACACAAGCGGTTGTGGCGCGGACGATGAATGTTTCTCAGTCTGTCATAAGCAGGCTATGGTCCAGATACCGTGATACACAATCTGTACACGACAGACCACGCTCAGGTCGACCAAGGGCGACAACTCAAGCCCAGGATCGATTTATCCGTACCTTGGCCTTGAGAAATCGTGTCATCACAGCAAATCAGATCAGCGCTCGTCTTCAAACAGACACTGGTGTGAGAGTGAGTGGCCAGACGATTCGGAATTGACTGCATAGGGGTCACCTTCGCGCCCGACGTCCTCGCGTGATTCCTTGTTTGAGAGATCATCCCATTCAGGCAAGACGTCGTTGGTGTAGGGATTGTCAACACTGGGATAATCGACGCTGGAGCAATGTGATGTTTTCAGATGAGTCAAGGTTCACTGTTGATTTATTGGACAGACGTAGGAGGGTGTGGCGTCGTCGAAACGAGCGCTTCCAAGATGTTAACGTCATCAGACATGATCGATTTGGGGGTGGTTCTGTTATGGTGTGGGGAGGCATCACTGTTGCTGGAAGAACGGCTTTACATGTTGTTGCAGGGCGTGTTACAGGCCAGTACTACCGGGACAACATCTTGGCAGTCCATGTTGTGCCGTTCGCACGACGTCATGGCCGCCGTTTCATCTTCCAGGATGACAACACAAGATGTCACAGGGCCAGGATCGTTACAGGTTACCTCCAACAACAGAACATCACCACATTACCTTGGCCAGCTCTGAGTCCCGACCTCTCCCCCATCGAGCATGTCTGGGACATGCTTGGACAGAGGTTACGTCAACGTCAACAACGTCCTGCCAATTTCCAAGAACTTGCTGCTGCGTTGCAACAGGAATGGGACAATCTGGACCAAAATGACCTTAGACGTCTCATTAGGAGTATGCCACCTCGGATCAATGCTTGTTTGGCAAACAGAGGAGGATTTACCCGTTACTGACTTGGTTGTGATGCTGTGGTAACTTTGCTGTTTGACCCCGGGTATCATTTTACCCTTATAATGGTCAGTCTGTGCCTTACTTAGTCTAACGATCATTTGGAATAAATCGATGAATGTGAACTTCATTTCATTTTGTCATTTGTTTCTTCGTCAGTTTCATTAGGTGACTTTAATAACACTTAAAAATCAAATATCCCCTACTTTTTTTGAATAGTATATTACACATTGCTATAGCGCACAACTGCCACATAAATGATCTCATGTGCACTATATGATATGATAATTATAGTCTATTGTGTATGATAATACACGTGTATGATAATGGCGTGTCTTTTGATCTATTGTGTTTATATTCTATTATTTGAATGGGTCTGTTTTGTCGTTTTTGTGTTGACTATAGGGTTTTAATTTGAATGATACATCTATTGTAAGTGTGTAGTTGACCACCTGCTTAAGTTACGGTCTATTGACCAGTGTTGTGTGCATTTCTGAGCAGACGAATTATTTATACGGTGTTATATATACGGTGGAAATAAAACTTGTATACGTGTTTATAATATTAACTTTGAAAATGTAAATAATGGGTAAATATCTATTGAGTTGGAGGTAATAGTGTTATGGAATCCTTGTCCGTTGAGTTATTTTACCTGTCTATCCGTAGGTTACTCTATAGAATGTTTGTCTTGTCTTCAATTGACGGTCACATGTTAGCTATACCGGCTTAGTTTGTCTTGATATGGAGTCTAATATGAACAGTTTGTTTTTATTTAAAATAGTGGAACACTCACTGAGTAACCCCCAATTCGTCACCTGTGTTACCTACCCTCGAATCCTTACCGTGAATTTGTATCGCGAATCTGCGACCCCCGCGCGTCGTCGGCGGCCCGCGCAATCTAACTATACACACACCACATTTGGATGGGAAAAAGTTGAACACATTTTAAATTGAATATTTAAGGAATCATATTTAAATCTGACGATGGTATCAAAGCCAGCATTTAAAATTGCAATAATATAATTCTTTACACGAGAAACTTGTTTTTAATGTCCCATGTTTGAATCTATTTAATCGGCGATTTAATTTCTTAAAGTTCACAATTCAATTAACAAATAGAAGAGACATTGATGTAATGTGAAGAAATCATAAATCAAAATGTTTTAATTTTGACTGTTTTTGCAAAGAAGGTGTTATAATGAATAGAATAACGAATAGTAAAAACGCATTAAAAAGAATGCAAGGCGATTGTTTTAAAGGTAAAGATTTCTTGGATACAATCAACCATGAATTTCCACAGAGAATACAAAATAGAAATGTTTTCTGACAATATCAACCAAAATTTGGCGTATACATTTGTCTCAATATATTATGTATAGAAAAAAAAGGAATCAGATTAAAGCAATGGACATGTACTCAACACGAGTTAAATATAAATATACTAAAATATTATCGATAAGTATATGGGGAAAAAGAGAGATGAAATGGAATGTCGCGCATATTCAATTTGAGTAATAACATAAGCGGTAACATTAGATTACGGAACTTCCAATTTAAATACATACATAAACCATATATTTAACTGATTTTTTTTATTAAAAAACAAAATAAAAGATTCTTCACTGTTTAGTTTTATAGTCCACACAAAACAAGGACTATTACCGTCACTAGAAAACTAAACCGTACTTTTAATCTTTACTAACTGATAGCAAAGAACATAAGAATTAGTAATTGTATTGGGGCTGACCATACTAATTATTCTGTTATTAAAGTACTGATTGTTTCAGAAAGTTAAATTATCGTTTTAAGCAGGTGTCTAGAATCCATATACAAAGCTTTTATATCACCGTTATTCGACTACGTAAACGTAATCCGAAATGAGTGTACTAAAAACGAAGGTACTGTTTCGGGAAACGTAAATCGTGGATTAGTGAGAGCTACATCTTATAATCTATTGTAAAACGAATCGGGGTTCACTTCAAATGAAATTAGACGGTATTGTCTATTCTAGTTCCTCCCAAATTCCGGGATATACACCCTTACCAAACGCGGAATCCAAAGCTGTATAGAAATATTCCTTCAAATACTATAGTTTTGTCTTCACCGGCGTTCGTAATAAGTGAAAATAATAGTTTACCCGATCAGATAAAATCGTCTCCTACTATTAAAAATAAAATCTTTAAAACCCATTTAATTAATGCTCATATTTTGTTACCCAAATATATTTTACACCGGAAAATATAATCCATTCTAAACTGCGTTACAATAAAAGTAACATAAACTACCTGTTCCCGCGGTCAATATATATAGACCGCACGGGGCATCATTTGTTATACTGTCCAAATTTTGCCGATGTTAGGTTTCAAGCTATAAATAAACTAGCAGATGTAGATATTAATGAAATACCAAGATTATATTCAAAAACTAGCAGATGTAGACATTAACTTAAAGGTTCAAACATGAATTGATAGATAAATGCTACCATTAATATTCCCGATCATATGTCTGAAATTTTACATTATTATATTTATCTACCTTAAATATACATATGGATATACCATAACGTTTCCACGATATAACAACCATGTAAGAGAACAAACAACAAACACACATGGGTGCATCAAAATTCATACGTTCATGAAATAACATCTTAACAGTCTGTGCATAGATACGATGAACATTCATTAAAAACACAGAGAATATAAACTATGGGACTGGGCAAAAAATAGAACTATATGATATATAGGTGTCCCGGTGGAAAAATCTCCGTTCAGACTGAAATAATAAAATATCGGCAGTTTATGAGGAACTCTGTAAGATACCCATAAATATATATCTCTCTTTTATTTCAAACAAAATCTTTAAAAAAAACTCATCGGGGGAGATAAAACACTTACATCCTCTCCAGAAATATTAGCACAACCGTAAAGCTGCACTACTTTTGTTTCA